AAAATGTGTAATCGTGAATATAAATAATTAGGAATCATGTAAAAATTTTTAATGAAATAAAAACATTTCATTTATCTGTTATAACATACATTTATGTAGTTTTGTTTCCTTATAAAGGTCCAGAAATGTGTCAAGTTTTTCGTCAGGTGTCTTTTTTAATAACATGATGTCATTATGTTGCTGTCTTGCCGCCAGCCAATCGCTGCATTGCTGATCGTGGTTTCGAGTATCGATACATAGCCCCTTTTAAACAAAGCCATGAACGCGCAATTATCTCCGATAACTCAATCCAGCCATACTTATCATCTGAATTAGCCAGATCCTGATTAGCGCGATGATATCATCTTGGATGTGACGTTTCATCTCGGATGTAATAAGCGACGTATGAAGAACGGGCCCCGGGACTGTGGTGGATGCCTGTTTATTTACCCAATCATAATGCCCTCACCTATTACCAGTTGCCCCGCTTATTGTGAAATGTTTCAAAACAGTTTAATTGGGAAATGTCCCAACATTTGTCTTCTGCTGAATGCAAAAAAAGTATTTTGAAGAAAATATTTGTCCACGGTATGGACAAAAATACAATGCAAGTCAATAGGGACCAGAAATTGTTTGGTTGCCGACATTATTCAAAATATATATATTTTTTTGCATTCAATGTCGGCAACCAAACAATTTCTGGTCCCTATTGACTTGCATTGTATTTTTGTCCATACCGTGGACAAATATTTTCTTCAAAATACTTTTTTTGTGTTCAGCAGAAGAAAGGAACTTACAGGTTTGTAATAACATGAGGGTGAATAAATGATGGCAGAATTTTCATTGTTATGTGAACTTTCATTATTAATGCGCAGTACTAAACTTTGAGCTCTCTTCATTCCCATTCCAAAATTGGTAAACACTGTCCTACAACTTTGGATGACGAGAAGATACATGATTAATAGGAGATTGGCTCAATACAAAAACCTTCCAAAGATGCATGTTTTCAGTGTAATGGGAAAGCGAAGTATATTTGTGAATTATTTTGTAATTTTATATTTATTTATTATACATTTACAAATCCTCACACGTGGTTCCTCATCCCAGTTTTTGTACCCACATTGAATGTTCTTTTGATCAGACACAGTATTTTGTTTGGTTTGTACTCCTTAGGTTTAATAACTGTGCTGAATAATTTAGTAATGTTTAAATCGGACACCATATTCTGCACAGTTTCAGCTCACAGTTTTTGTGTGTTGAGGTGTTTTAAAGATCATTATTTCTAGATTTCTATTTCGCTTAAGCAGTTTTAAATATAATATGCATGCACACAGGGCTGCTGCTGGCCAAATGGGTGCCCTAAGCAGAATTGTATTATTGTGCCCCCCTCCCCAAAATATTATGCAAGTAAAAAAAACAAACGCCTACTATCGGGGTCAAAATAGAACTTAAATAAAATATCAAAAAGTAAATAAATAAATTGTATTTAAATTGTATTATTTACAAATTACAATTGTAGCTAGACAGTTGTCTTTATTAATACAGTTGTCATTTTGTGTGATTTTCAGAAATCACACAAAAAAACATTAAGCAGTTTTACTACGATAAAACCATGGTTAATTTTTGTAAGGGTTGTGATGTCCACATTTTCGTTGAAGAAATTAAAGCATATCTATCGCAAAAAGGTGGCCAAAAATAAAAGATTAAGTGGATATTTTAATTTAATGTTTGGACAACATTAAACAAAATTGTAAGTGTTACAACAGCAATTGACAGGCCTTTGGTGCCGTTTGCAGGCATTTAATATTGTTTATTTTGTATTAGGCTACATTATGTATTTTAACAGTGTATTCAATGAAACCATACAATTATTATTAATTAACCAATCATTATTGCCTCATTGTTTTTATATAATGCATTTTAAAGGGTTAGTTCACCCAAAAATGAAAATTAGCTTGTGTTTTACTCACCCTCGAAGCATCCTAGCTGTATATGACTTTCTTCTTTCAGACGAATCCAGTCGGAGATATATAAAAAATTGTCCTGGCTCTTCCAAGCTCTATCATTGCAGTCAGCGGGTGTTTCTGTTGAACAGTCCACAAATCGTCAAATAAAGCTCGCGCATTCATAATAAAGCGTGCCGCAGACGGCTCCCGGGGGTGAATAAAGGCCCCCTGTAGTGAATCCATGAGTTTTTGTTATTTCAAACGTAATAAACACTTTTCTTTCACTTCCGTTATCTATCATACACAGATCCGTTCCGGTGGAAGGCGTATGACGTATGCGCAGCGCACGCGCGCCTCTGAGATATGCAAGTCTCGCGAGTTTGTTTATAAGAGCAAAGGAAGTAAAGTTTCCTAACTTTAGCAAAGGAAAACCAATATCTTCTTGGTTTATATCGAAATCCTCTGACATTTTTCTTTGCAAATCCTTGGTTTGTACTTCTAATACGTGACCGGTGTTTTGTTTTGTGCTCCGCGTTCGTCACTAATCACGCAGCGTCTTGCGTCATCCGCCGGAACTGCTTCAGTGTATGACGGATAACAGAAGTGAGAGAAAAATTATCTAAATACTTCTAAAAGTAACACAACCATGGTTAAGTCGTGGTTACCAAGATTTTTGATTTTATTCGTAGTAAAACCATGGCTAATTTTCGCAAGGGAACATGGAAACTCAGAGAGAATATTAAGGCAGATGTGGTGGTGATATTACATTAAAACACATTACGTCAACAGCCAAAAAAGTTTCACAGGATTATGAACATAAGTTACCTGAAAGTGATACACGGGCTTCATCTTGGGCTCTTTTTCTTTTCTCGGCGCCGGACTGCTGATGTCTTTTCACGGGCATAGTTGCCAATGATACATTTCTTCAATGTAGTCAATGAAGCTCGAGAAGTAGAGTTCCAGATGTTAAAATAAGACTTTATTAAACAAAGTAACAAAGCCGAGATAACGGTTACTGCATCTGAAGTCTCTGTCTGTCCGCACATCTGTTTTATACCTTTTTCTCTTACCAAAGTTGGTAGTTCCGGTTTTTTATTGGTTATGCCTGTCTGGTTTGCCACGATTTATTACTAGCCCACCTGGTCCATTTTTTAATGGTGGAATTTGGCCAAATCAACCATTTTTAAAAAACTTTCACTTTGCCGCCTCCTATTGGTTGGCGGTGGTCACATGAGACATTCATCAAATCTGTTTACGTGTTCCTGTCACCTTCTGGAAATCACCCAGAGTTCATTGGGTTAAGTTCACTGGTACAATCCAATGGAAGCCACCGGTACTGCCCAATGGAAGGGCCCTCATACATACAATCCTCATTAAGACATCCAGTATTGGGAATAATTCAGCATATTGATTAGTATATTGATTACTTTCATGATCATACATAATATTTTAAGTAAGATGATACCATATTGAGTAAATAACAAAATATATAATAGAATGACACAATACAACTCGCTCATCAGAATCTCCGGTAATCCTCGGCAAACTTTGCCACGGCTCATTCGGTTCTTGTTGAGTCCTCGGTAATCCTCTGCAAACTTCGGCAAACTTTGCCACGGTTAATTCGGTTCTTGTTGAGTCCTCGGTAATCCTCGGCAAACTTTGCCACGGCTCATTCGGTTCTTGTCGAGTCCTTGGTAATCTTTGGCAAACTTTGCCACGGCTAATTCGGTTCTTGTCGAGTCCTCGGTAATCCTCGGCAAACTTCGACAGCTGGTTGAACCGGCTCATTCGGTTCTTGTCGAGTCGAACGTGCTACTTTGGCTGTGTGTCCTGCATCATCAACCCGGAACTAAAGTTCGATTCAGTTAGATTTGTGAATCGGCTCGACCGGTTACTTCCTGAGAACCGGCTCAAAAGAACGATTCGTTCAAGAACCGAACATCACTAGTCTGTAGTCTGTTAGTGTTGTTCTTTGTGAGAACAGGTCCTGTAGTCCCTAGACCTCTGTATTTTTTTAAGAGGCAAATGCAGTGACCCATGTTTATTGTATAAGTTTTTGTTTGTTTTTATTTTTCAACAAATCTAAATCTTCAGTTAGATTAACATTTGCTTTTCTTTTGTAACCTTATTCTGTGGGAATAAACCCTTATGTGTTTGCAGTAGCCTGCTGCCTCTGTGATCTTGTCCTCTTTACTGGTCACATCTATCACATAATTAAATAATATTATTCTAGATGGCTGATTTCATTTGACAGTTCTTTATCATCTTTTACCATCCAACATACAGAGGGCCATGAGACAATGCATACATTTCCCTGCAAAATGAGGATCATATTAATAACAGTATAATTTCTCATTTTTAGGTAATGTTAGCAATATGACCGTAGCTTATTAAAAATATAAAGGACAAGTATATATAATTATTTGTGAAGCTGTATGAAAGCACGGAGAGATATTTAAAAGGAGTTCTAAGAGTATGTAGCTTGGGTATAGAGAATGGAAATCTACGTCATTGCGCATTGCATTATGGGTATACAATACAAATCACCAGAGGAAAAAAATTACTGTATTTACGTTACCCATATTTTTAAGCGCTTCTTGTACTTGCTTAGAATAAATTG